CTCCTTTTGCATGTGAGACTCCTCTCTCTTTAGGCATCCAGGTTCCCTTTTCAGGGCAGTAACTTTGGGCCTTGGCCACACAGAGCTGTGCAGCACAGGTGGGAAGGCTATGGTTTGGACTGGGATCATTCCCTTGAGATCACATCTCTACCAGCTCCTCCATCCAACCCTCTACCACATCAGACTGAGATCCTTTCTCTACCTCTGTGAGGCTTTGTGGCCTTTCCTTACCAACCATCCCACATACTATTGAGGGTTTTACTGTCAGCCTCACTTTGTCCCTCTTGGGCATCCTCTAGCCTTCAATTTCCCGCAGTAAATGAGTCATCTTGTAAATGTCCTTTGCACACAAAGAACTTTTACTTACATGTGCGCGTGGCACTGGAGAGATCTCATGGTATGAATGAGAAGCATATGAGGGATCCAACAGACATGTCCATTAGCAGTTGCCTTGGCTTTGGTCCTCTTTCCTTCTCTTACAGGTTTGCTCCCTGTGGCTGGGCTTGTCTTCAGGTGGCTACTCCCCAGAGTTAGATGGAGCTCATGTTTTGAGGCTTGTCAGCCCATTGCTAGACCAGTATCTTACTCTCCCAGCACTCTGCAAGGTCAGAAGAATAAAGGGAGGGCTGCTGCTGCCTACAGAAGGAGAGGTGGCTCACCCTCTGTGGTGCAGTTGAGCCAGGGACACATCTGGCCCATGGTAGTACTGTACAACCCGACTCAGTCACGGTAAAGAGTAGCTCTGACCTCAGCCCCTCAGGGAACACTCCTTCCCTGAGTTGTTGTCTGGCTTCAAAGAGTTTGTGCAGTGCCACTCATTCGGCTCCTGCAGCTGCAGCCTTGTCTCAGCTCCTCTCTGTGCATGCTTGGGGCTTGAACCCATGCTGTGGCTTTGCCCCATATGGATGCAGCTTACAGCCATAGCTCTTAGCAAGAGGGAACTCTTTGTTGCTTGCAAGGCAGGTGGGACACAAATTGCAAGAGTCTTGTCTTCTCTGTCCCCTCCCACCTTTATTCCTCCCTTGCAGAGAAAAGTGATGGAATGCCATTTTCCCCAACCTTCCCTTCCCTCCCCACATTGAAGGGACTGGAGAAACTGATGTCAGATATCTGGAGCACTTCATCAAAGCTGCTGTCTGCGTCATGAGCTGCGTCAATGAGCTGCTCAGTTGGCCAGAACTCAGAGTACATCACTGCTGCTGAAACAGACCCTCTGGTTGCAGGATTGAGAATGAAGTCCCCTTGCAAACTAATGGGACAGTTGTCACAGTGCCTGGATAAAGGTGTCTCTGCAGGTGCCCCTGGATTTGCCCTTAACTGATGTCCTGTTTTGCTCCAGAATCTTCGAGGACGTGGTTCCAGCCATCCGGAAGTGGCGGGAAGCGGGAATGAAGGTCTATATCTACTCTTCAGGCAGCATTGAAGCCCAGAAGCTTCTGTTTGGATACTCTACAGAAGGTGATATCCTAGAGGTAGATAACCTTACCACCTTCCTTACAGCTTCTCCCTCTGCATAACACTCCCCTCCCACAAGCGCCCTTGCTGCAACACTTGGTGAATGGAGTCTGGGACAGGAGGGTGGGGCAGTGGGTTTGACCCACGGGAGTTAAGCTCAGCCAGTTGACTATGCTGGCATGGCTGCATCGGCCCCTGGTTCCCATGGTGGAAAGGAAAGGGGAGGGCTCACTCGGGCGTGAGGTTTAGCCCTGCTCTTCAGGTGGCACTCAGCAATGGCCTGTGCTTCTCTGTCTCTTTCAGCTCTTTGATGGCCACTTCGATACCAAAATAGGCCCCAAGGTAGAAAGTGAGAGTTACAGAAGGATTGCTGCCAGCATTGGGTGCGCCACCAACAACATCCTCTTCCTGACAGATGTCCCTCGAGGTAGGTGGTCTGCCAATCCTGCTGGTTCTCACCTGTGCAGGGGTGAGATGTGATGCTGATTTGTCACAAGCACCCCAGAAACGCTGTGCACTGCTTTGCTTCAGCACCTCCCCTCTAGCTGTTACCATCCTCCCCCCTTACACACCCAGGCTTGCACACAGCAGTGGGATGTCTGTGAGCAGCGCTGCAGCGAGGGAAAATAGGTCAAGTAGAAAACCTGCCTTTGCACCAGCAAGCAAGGAGAGACTGTTAAAGCAGAGCAGAGCATTTGCTGAAGCAGTTGGCATGTCCCACTTACAAAGGGGTCAGTGGTTTGACCCGTGCTCAGGGGAACTGATGTAAAGCTGTGCTGCTACATGGCACATGGTGGTGGCTGGTTCTTTGTGCCACTTACGGTTAGGTTGTGTTCAGCAGCTGGAAAACGTTGCTCCTGCTTGCCAGGACTTGACCCCTGGAAAGCCAGGATTGGGAAGCTGATTTTATTGCTTGCCTTTGCTGGAAACATCTTTCTGGTAGGAAAAGCACTGGTTTGCAGTCTCAGTCTAAACCAATCCAGTCCCCAGGACTCAGTCCTTATCTCCTCCCCAGCTCTCCCAGAGCTGCTGGGAGCTTGTAGTTACCTCCTTTTCCATGGGTCACCTCCTTGGATTTCCTCTTGTACTGAGGGAGCAAAATGAAGCTTGTGAGCAGTGACTGGACCGGGGTGGGGTATGGGTTTGACTCGCTAATGCCACAGCCTGACCACAGCCCAGCTTCCTTGTGACAGGAATCTCGAGCTGACAGATATCTTGGACAGCCATCAGCTGGGAGAGGGGAGGGGATGGTGAGTCAGCCAGCTCTTGTCCGCTCATGTTACATGGCAGCTACAGCCATCCACAGCAGGTCTACCAGGAGCTGGTTCCTCTCTGGAGCCCTGCAGCACCACGTGCAAACTGTGCTTTCTCAGTCCCAACCTTTAAAAGCATTTCAGTGCTCTGGGGATCTTCAGGTCTTAAAGACCTTGATGTGAAGAGGTCAGTAAGTAGATCTCATCTCCACTCTCCCCACCTCTGTTTGTTTCAGAAGCCAATGCGGCCGAGGAAGCGGATACTCATGTGGCTGTGGTGATCAGACCTGGCAACGCAGGACTGACAGACGATGAGAAATCGTATTACAGCCTCATCTCATCTTTCACCGAACTTTTCCTGCCTTCCTCCACTTAGGGAAAGCGGTGCGCGCACAAAAGACTGTGCTTCACCTGAATTGTCCTTGTGAAACGTTAGGTAATTTTGTCCATAATCAGAATTTAAACCAAATCCACATCATGTCTTGGACCCACAACCAGTACAGGCAGGTATGGATGGAGAGTACCGTGTGGGGTCCCTTGCGCAGTAGGACAGAGGCCTGCTGCCAACTGGAGCTGGGAACAGGGTAAGGAGCAGCACCCATGAGCCCTGCTGTTCCTCCCCTTTCCTGGCTAGCAGATAGCTAAAGAGATGCTTCCTTCAGAGTCACCCACTGAAATCTGGTGCTGAGATGCCCCACCATGAGCTCTGTCACTTTTAGCAGCAGTCTGCAAATAAGGTTTATGTCCCCTTGTCCCAGAGGGACCCCTGATGACCATGAGGGGATATGATCTTCTCCCTGCAAATGGGGTTGCTGGCTAAGTCAAAACTTTCAAAGTCAGGATTCCCAAAGGAAAATTCCAACTATGGGCTATAATATACAGTAGCTGACAGAAAAAGCCAGCCCTTGCTGCAAGGCAGGCTCTTTAGACGAAGAACAACATATATCTTGGCTATATCTGTAGCAGGTCTAGGTACAAAACAGTACAATTTGCGTATGGAAGCTGCTTAGAGCTACACAGCCAGCCTGCCAGAATGAGGTAGAATATATATAAGTTATAGCTTTAAAAATTAAATTCTGGACACACTCCACTGCTGCATTGTGGTGCTGGGCTATGGGATATAACTGGCTGAACACCAGAGTCAGCTTGACTGCATTTCTGAAGTATCTCAGCACTAACCCATGGAGCTCCTCCTCAGTAGCCACCACCACCCAGTCACCCATTCATAGCACTGGTCAGCTGTGAGCAAACCTTGACAGACTGCTCCCAGGGGGGACATCCTGCTGCATTTAATGAGAATTAAAACCCTGACCTTTTCACCCTACCAAAATTGTGCCAATGTATATCAGATGGTCATGGAGCTTTTCCTAATATAGTAAATAAAAAAAACAACTTTGCTTTCATCGTGTTCACTCCATCACAGTATTTAGCCTTCCTGTCTATCACCAGTGATCCCAGCACTTAAAGGCAATTTTTTTTTTTTTAAATCTGCAAACACTTTGTTGCTCTGCTTTCACCTTCCCCAGCCTTTTCTCTAAGGCAGCGGCCTTGTCCTGCCAAGGAAGCTGTATTACCTCCCTGACCATCTTAGGGTTTCCCCCCCAGCTGGGGCTCAGTGGGGGTGCAGGAGTGAGAGCCACAGGGAGGCTATACCTGGTAGGAGTGGAGGCAGAGGCAGTCTGAAATCCCTGTTCCCTGCTGCTGGCACTTTGTGTGTGGGTGTCACTTGCTGTGTACTGAGCGCTGGCACTGGAGCTTGCCCTCACAGACGCAGAAAATACTATATTAACATGTATGCTGCCTTCCTGAACTCTGATTTACACCTACAGCTCTCCCTGTTGATGGAGGCTGCTGTGTAAAGGACAAGCAAGAGATGGGCATTTGGGGAGGAAACTACATCATGCCAACACTGTCCTTCTAAAACTTCGACAGCAGCACGTCAGGCTGTGGGGCAGTTGGTTTTGGATCCCTTTCTGGGCTATGTAGTGAGTGTGATCCTGCTCCTTGAAAGAGCCAGCTAATTAGTGCTGTTACAATAAGTGTATCTGCATGGCTGAATAGTTGCTGGCTTCCTTAAGTGATAATGCTAATCATTACACTGTAAATACTCACCTTTTGTTTTGCCTTTGCCATCAGAAAGCTATGCTTGGGATAGGGGACAAAAATAAAACTCACTTTCTCCATAAAAGCACTTTATTTAGTAGTCATGTTTCAGTGTGTATCACTTGTCACTTAGTTGTACTGAAATGTGCTGTTAGAAATACTCTAAGAAATGTACAGAGTTATCACTAAAAACCTGAAGTTCAGTTTGGATTGCATATAGGAAAAGGAGAAAAAGGAAAAAAAATCACATCATCTTTTTTTCCTTTGATAAAATTACAAAATATAAAGTGATAAACTGAAAGTATTAATTGATTAGGGAAACAAAAGTCACAGTGGACTATTTACAGTAAAACACCCTTACAACAAATTGCTATTTTGTGCTCTGTATGGATTGAGCGTGTGTGCCTGTGTAAGAGGATCCCCACCTGCGCATTCTCCAGACTGTTCATGCCCAGGAGGAGCTCCCTGGATGAGCTGCTGGGGAGCCCAGCACCTTTCACTGCTATGTTCTTGGGCCACCCTCAGCACATCCATCCAGGAAAGCTTTCCACTAATGACACTGTTTCAAGGAGGACGCCTTCAGCAATCCACAACAACCCTCTGTTGGCCGGAAGTGCTCTGGATTTATAACAGCTGCCTGAGAACAAATTTTGGTGCACAGAAGATAAAGGGCTGGCTGAAAGCTGTCTACTTGCATTAGTCTGTCTCAACTATTTCTCCTTTCAGGAGAGGCCTCTGACCTTTGCAGAAGATGAATGCCCTTGTACCTTTTCTCTCTCTTGTCTGAAATGCCACAGAGCGGTACAGTTCCCCTTCAAAGGCCTTTTCCTACCATTTTAATTTCTGCTTATTTTCCTGCGGCTCAGACAAGATGCCAACCTAAATTGAGTCTGATTTGTGAAAGAAAATAGGAGCCATGTTCATGAGAAGCAAATCCCATCACTCCCCTTCCCAGCCAATACAGCAGCCTTCCCAAAAGGAGGTTTTCAAATGGGCTTTGAGCTCCTGGTTTTTCTTTGAAAACAGACCTTCTGTTTGAAAACCTTCCATTAGGAAGAATCCCATCTAGTTTTGTTCCCTTTTTTTACCTCCAGCCTTCAGGCGACATCACCCACCCTTGGGGGGAGAACTCCATTCAGGACCACTGACCACACTGAGGGGTCCAGAACCCAGGCCCTACTGTCAGCATGTCTGAAGTTTGGCTTGTAAGTGCACAAGGAGCGAAACCAAACCCTTGTGTCCAGAACCACCTGCAGTGGTACTGTTCTCATTGCAGACAAGCCCAGTACCTCTAACACATTTTCCCCCCTTCAGGGAACAAAAAAAAAAAAAAGCTTTTGAAATAACTATGCAAGATGTGTGATGGAAGCACTACACACTTAGGAAGAGCAGCCTTTTCTGGGTCATCTTCAGAGCACACAAACATTCTCATCTTAATTCAGCCCCTCACTTCCCCCAGTCCCCACTGTTGAGTCTGAACCATGAAGCCAAGCACAGCACCCCACTGTGTCATCTCCTCTGGTCTGGGGACGATCTGCCCAGCTAAGAGGGAGCATTGGCCAAGTCTTTCTTCCTGATCACAGCACAGTTTCTTCCAAACCCAGATTTACCATCAGCTGCTTTCCAGGCCCAAAGAAATGCCTGCCTGCTTGCCAGAAAAGCCAGTCAGTTGGGGTCTTCCACTGTCCGATTCCAAATTCTGAAGAAATAGATGCTCTTTCTCACCCTTCCAAGTTACCCCAGTTGGCAGCAAAGAAAACAACTTGGGAAAGACACAAAAGGTGCAGGCTGGTGACTCAGGAACTGGTGATTCCTCAAGACTCTTGGTGCCCAAAGAATTCTGCTTCCTTTACCTCCTCTGTGAGTAGGCTCAGGAGGACCTGTCTCGGAGGGGCATCACAAGGACTGGCTGTGGAACATTTTGAACAACAGGGGTGTGACAGAGCCACTCAAAGAGATCCTGGTAGCATAAACTAAACAGTTTGTGCTTTCTCATGCTGCCACTGAGAGTGTTCCAGTGAACACCTACTTTTGTTTGGCTCTTAGTGAGACAGCCACCTTCAGAGCCCTTTGGCAATACGATTGTGATTGCACATGAAAACAAACTCATAAAAAAAGTGTAAATGAGGTTATGTTTAACCCATGAGACCACACCTGCCCCCCTCCCCCCTGCCAGAGGACAGGCTACACCTGATCTGTCTGGTACTCAGAGGCTTCTGATAAGCTTTCGGAAAAGCTCAGAAAGTTTTCCTGGTATTCAGAGCAAATTATCTCAAATCTGTAATGCCTGAACTCTACTGCAAAGGTGCCAAAGTAGCACAGGAAGCACATCACCAGGCCCCACTGGATCCTGGAAGCATGCATGTGAATGCCCTGTGCCATGAGGATGAAATCTGGAAGAGGAAGGTCAAGGAGAACTAATGGGAGCAGAGACACCAACCAGTATGACAGAAAGGAAGACAAACAATCAAAATCACACAGATGACAGTCAACCCATCCAGCCATCATGAGGAGAGTGTGAATGGGATGTTGGGGAGCCCAGCTGGTTCTGGGCTCTCAGTAAGCTGAAATACCAAAGATGGAACTTCTTACACCTGGCAGAGGGTTAACCACGGACAGTGGGGACTGTGACACAGTGGGTTTCCTGTGAGGAATGTCAGCCTATGGTGTTAGGACATGTGGATGTATGTCCAATCGTGAGTTGTTATGAAGTAGTAAACCAATGCTGTGTGTACATGTGTCACCCTAGAACTGTATAAAGGTAGCTGTACTGTTGCAACAAAAAAGCTGCTGGTATCCTGAAACCCATGTCGCCTCCCTGCCTTGACCGCGACAATGGGATGCCAGAGAAGAAAGGAATGTCAGGTGTCCAATGATGCCCATGGAACACAGCAGCTGTCCTATACCAGGGCTTCCTGATTTCAGATCAGGCTGATAAACATTTCAAGAGGAAAAGACTTAGATGCAGAAAAGTAAGTGCCTTGCCTGAGCATCCAACTTGCCAGGGAGAGAGCCAGCAAGCTGGTGATCTGGCTGTGGGCCCCTACCTACCAGGAGCCTCTCAGTGGGAACTAGATCAGATTGCTGGATCACAGGCAGTGGGAACACCTTTCAAACTTCACAGTGAAATCTTTCATTTGCTTTAGGTCACCTGCAAAATAACCCCTTCCTGTGAAATCTGGAAGCATCAGTCTACCCAGTATGGCATGTTAAAGTAAAAGGAAAAAGAACACTGTTGGGGCCAGAAACTGTCCTCCAAGCTCACGTGCCCATGTGCTTGGACTGCTTGTGCCTGGCATCAGGGTCTCACTGCTGTGCCTTGGATTCTGTTGCAGCACTTCACAAAAGCAATTCTGAGCTTCCCTTCCTGAGCTGAGCACCTGCCTTAGCTCAGTGCACATCTCTTCTAAACCTACCATCTCCCATGTCTGTCAGGATTTCCTCTGCACTCCAAGTGTACATGATTACACATCTTCACAGGTAAACAAGCAGCCTCTACCATGTTTTAACTGCACAACAGCAGGTAATTGGAGACTTCTCCTCTTGGGCTTAGTGTAAACAACAAAACCTTCACTTCAGCAAACAGCATTTTGTGTCTGGCTTTAAGGATCTTCTATATTCCCTGTAGTGCAAGGGTTATGCACAAACTGCATGGAATGGGGAGCCAGCCTGGGCATTGCAAAGCTGGCAGGAGGGTGCTGAACGGGACTACTTCCTCAGCCTGCCCCCCTTCAAAGAAGCCTTCAGTGCCTCAGTGCTGAGCAGACAGCTGGGAAGGGCTGGGAAAAGCTAGAGAGGGCTGGGCACACTCAGCGTGTCGGTACAGGAAGAGCTATGCCCTGGCTTACCTGGCTGCTCCTGCTCCCAGCTTAGCAGAAGCCTCTGGAGACGTCAGCGCAGCGGGAGCTCCCTGCGTGCAGCCCTACCCCAGACACACAATGAGGAGCTATGGGCTTGAGGCAAGGGGAGGAGGGGAGCACCACAAGAACCAGGCATCTCCCACATTATATACACTAAAGCCTGATGCTCAGTTACAAATTTTTTCAAGGAAGCTGAGGAGGTGACTGATGTCACACCTTCATGTCAATCTGCTCTTCCTCTGGACACTGGCTGGAACGTTCAAATCCAGACAGGTCAATAAGGAACTGTTTTAAGAACAGGCTGTTCCCCGAAGAGGGGGATAAGCTTATTCCTCAGCATTTATTTCTGCCCTCTTGTTTAATCCAGCACTAATGTTGATGCAACTATGCATTGAATGGATCAGTGCTGGTGCAAACAGAAAGGCTGGAGTGGGGCTGACAGGCACAAGGTGTAGAGGAAGTCACACACACATCCAGTCTGAGTGGCCACAGACCCCATAGCCCAAATCCCATTTCTAAAGCACCTAGTTTTAACCTGAAGTCCATGTCACCTAGCAGCTCTTGACTGTGATAACTGTCTTAAAAGGCAGAGCTGGATATAGCACTCTGGAGCATTTCAACAAACACATCAAAATCTTTTCATCTTCAGAAACACGATTTCTTCCATTGTTCCTTTGTTCTCCAGGGAATTTTTATCTCAATATTTTGCATAGTCTTAAATGCTACTGTATAGGTAAGAGTGGTGCCATTAAATCGCACAGATACTATTCAGTATTGTAACCACTTCGGATATCACTAACTAAGAAGCTTTAGAAACATTTATGAAGGAACTGAGCCCATCTGTGAACCCGTGCATCTTGGTAAAACAACTAGCAAAATGAGGCAATCATAGGGTAATGCCATGAAGACAAACTGAGTAGCATTCCTAAATTGTTTGAGATGCTAGAACAGATGTGAGAAGAGCCGATGTTCCCTGCTGCAGAAAGCACTGGACACATATGATACCTGGATTCCCAGGGAACCAGACAAAAGGATACAGAGCACCACACAGAGGGTGATGCTGGCTGAGAGAGCAACTCGTGGAATCCCAGCTTTCCGCCCCTCATTCTTCAGGTTGATCTTGAGGGTAAGGGCAGACTGGATCCAGCACGCCAAGGTTCCAAAGCCAAAGGTCAGCGATGTGCCCACATTGTGGATCTCCTCATCATTGGAAAGCTAAGAACAAACAAAATGGTGATTGTTTGGACACCACAGGAATTATTTGATAGCTAACTGGATTGCTGCTGAGGTGGGATGAGGGAGAGTGAGAATCACTGAGGTGTGAGGCAGAGATGCTGTATCATTTCTTCTGGGAGAGGTGTAAGGTGTAACATAACCAAGATGAGTTGACAGCTGTCACAGTTGAGCAGATCTTCTGCCCAAAGCTCAAGCACAGTGGAAAATGCAGTTGCTCAGGGACTGCCTCCACAGCTCCCTGACAAGACTCACAAATGCAGAGCTCTGAAATAAATCCTTCCCTGGCTCAAAGCAATGGCTGGGGCAGACAAGGACAATCCCCTGGGTCTTGTACAGCTTCTTGCAATAGATGCAAATTGTGCGGTCTTCAGTGCCAGCTGCATGGAGCAGTGCTGCCTGGGGCAGTGGGCAGCCAGAGCCCTGACACCTCCACTGAGCTAGCACATGCCAAAACCCAAGTACCTGCTCCTGGTTTGACAGATTTCTCCAACCAAATTCCCTCTCCTGCCCATCCTTGACTATTGGGGTCTGAGGCAAATGAACCCAATCTCTCCGGAGTGCAAGGGCTTCTCTGTCCCTTGGGCTGCCATGTCTTGCAGGGCACAGTGATTGTGCAATACTGCAAGGCTAAAAGGCAGGCAAGTTCAATAAGCAAGAGTCTGCAAAGAGACCTCTTGAGGCTGCAAATCCATTCACCAAGTCCAACATTAAGCCAAACAATTTCCCTTACCCTTCAGCCTCTGGGGCTTTTTCAGAAAAGAAACCATCAGTCTGTAATTTCTTCCTGCAGCCTCAATTCCTGTTTGGTTCCTGATAGGGATTTTACAAACCCCTATCAAATAAGACACAATCTACAGGATAACAATATTGGTGCTGTGCCTCCATTGATCCTCTCCTCTCTACTCTTTTTTCTAAGGGTAGGTCCAAATCATAGTACAGGCAAAAATAAGATTGAGCTGCCTTTCCCAAGGTAGTCTGCACTGCAAGGGACTCACAGTTACAATGTTCCTCTAAAACAACCAATCTGTAATTTTCCAGAAATATGATTTAATGCCACATTCATCTTAGCAGTCAGCTTAGCACAGACTAAGTTCTCATTACCACATGCTTCCATGTCTGGCAAAAGATCTAAGCAAGGATACAGATGACTAACACAGAGTGGATAATTAGTTCAGAATTTATAACCTGGAAGACCAGGTCCATAAAAGTCAAATTATCTCACACCTCATTCATAAGGAAAAAAGAAGTCAACTGTAAAAGAGACAAAGTTCCTGCAATTACTCTATAACCCAAGGGGGTACTCAACCTTTAGAAAACAAGTACCTTTTCATATTGGCTCCCTGTCTGCAAAGCAAGGCAAGCAGCCAGCCTACACTGACCTTTCTCAGTTTCTGCCATTATTGGGGGTCATTACTTGCACCCCAGTGAGAGGGAGAGCATCAGAGTCAGCAAAGAGATGGGGAAACTCGAGTGCCACTGACTCGAACGCCTTGATTTTTCACTGCAGACCTAAGAGACACACCCGTGAACACAGCGGACATCCATCCCTGGAGATGTGGCAGAAGTTTGTTTGTATAATGTTGCAAAGATCAAGAATGAGAGGGCCCTCATCCAGGCATACATCATATTAGAAATCGTAGTGCTCCTCTGCTGTGTCCCTCTCCTGGCAGGTCTAAGAATCAGCAGGAAGCAGATTTAAAGCAACATATATTTTAAATGAAGGACACTGAGCTGTCTGCTAAATCTGTATGGGCAGTTGTGCATCTGTTCACACAGATGTGTACGTAAACTTCCCGCTCCATCATTTTACCCAGGCCCATCTGTGCCTAATCCCAGGGCTCAAGAGATTCAAGAAGTTCCTGCTATGGCTCTGGACAGGTCAAGTGTAAGCATGCAGGTGAAAATCCTGCTGGAAATACAAGAAAAATTATTGTGGCCCTTCATCTCAGCATATCACTGGAGCCACGTCAGTGGCAGACAGAGGTGGCAGAGCAGGTACAAAGAGGACTGGGGCACAGCCAGACATGTTATCTCCTGAGCTCACATCACAGGTAGTTCAAAGACCTACGCAGATCTGCTGGAAAAGCAGGAAACTCACATCACAGACAGAGTGGTTCAAGCCTGCAGTGCAGTACCTGAAAGTTGCCGAGTAGGGTCATCCCAAAAGAGGCCAAGCACAATGCCACCAAGCCGCTGACGTTCAGCCAAGGGTTTAGCACCTTTGGCTTCAGCTGAATGAAGCGCAGGACAGCCACAACAAGCGCTGAGAAGGAAACAGAATGCAAGGTGTGTCATTGGGTACAATCTGCTGCAGTAAACATCTGGCTGGGGGCTCACAGATCCCTCCCCATCTCTGTACCCAGAGGGCAGAGTTCACTGCAGGTCAGCTTAGTGCCTCCTCCTGCTTAGTCAGGTAGAGACTAAAACCAGGGAGCATTTCTCTTGTAGTCTGGTTAATTACATGAGCTCCAGGCTTCCTTTTGTCACCATGTTTTGTCTAGGAGCTGGGTTGCAAATTTTCTGGGGAAAGAACACCTTCCTGTTTGCCTGTGAAGCTCCCAGCACACAGTCTATCACATACACATCATGCATTCATTTTGTGGCAGCTGGGCTTCCATTGTTTCACTCCACTGACAAGCACTGAGCTCTCCTGGGGGAGGTATGTCAAACCCCACTTGTATTAAAAACATATGAATGGCACATACATATTTCTGCAGGTTTTACCATAATGCCCACTGCCTCTTCTCCTCCTTTGGAACAATTTCTGTTGCCACGAACATAAGCCAAAATATTGCAGAAATTTTCCACGGAGAACGGAAGAACAATCCTTCCAAGCTCACAATTACCCTGAGTGCTATATGATACGTGATAGATGTGATACATGATATATCATAGGATATTACATAACCCCAGAAGATATTACAATTGTATATTTTTCCCCTCCATAGGGAATGCTGCATGGAACAACACAGAAAGCCAGGTAAACAGTTGGCCTTCAGAGGGGATTCAAGCCAGACCACGAAAAAGCTATTTAGTTGAACAGGGAAATTTCCTGGTTGCTGTCAAACACCTTCTCATGCCCCTGCTCAAACTGATAGCATGCAGGTCATATTGTTGTAAATCGTTTGCCTTAGCAAATTGAATCTGTATTTTACACAAACCCCTCAGTATAATACCAAAAACATAGTTTAGGAAAATAAGAGCTCTGTAAGTGAAAAATACCCACTTTCATGCAAACTGCAAATGATGTTTCAATTTACTCTCTTACAATTTTTTCTAGTGAATCAATCCGCTCCAAATCCTTGAAAACAAGAAAACTCTGTTCCCTCCAAAAAAGGGAATTCCTTTTTTTCATCCCCAGCTAGTTGTTTGGGACAGCCACCCTGTGACTCCTTGAGCTCACATGCAGGAACTTTTTAATTTCTATTCTACATCCTGAAATTATGTGATCTTTTTCTAAAACCTGATAGGAATTACAAAAGGGAATTAAAAGCATTTTGTGCAAAACAATGGCATTTTCAATTTCAGTAATTCCTACATTTCTAGCAGGTTTCTGTTGTTTTCCTCTCCTATAGCTTTGACATAACTAAAGTGGCCAGAGGTACAAGGTAAAAGCAGCTCTCAGAAGCACACAAATACAGCAGAGGAAAGTTTGATTTTACCCACAAAGCAGAGATTGGAACAGAACAGCCTATTTCTGCTGGAAGGGACCTACAATCATCTCATCTTAATGCCTGACCAATTCAGGGCTGACCGAAGTTAAAGCATGTTATTAAGGGCACTGTCCAGATGCTTCTTAAACACTGACAGGCTTGAGGCATTGACCACTTCACTAGCAATCCTGTTCCAGTGTTTGACCACTCTCTCAGTAAAGAAATATTCAGTCTAAACTCCCCCTGATGCAGCTCTGAACCATTCCCACGTGCTCTGTCACTGGATCCCAGGGAGAAGAGATCATCACCTCCCTCTCCCTTTCACCTCCTCAAGAAGCTGGAGAGAGCAGTGAGGCTGCCCCTCAGCCTATTTGTCTTCAAACTAGACAAACCCGAAGTTCCTCATAGGACATTCCTTCCAGCCTTTCCACCAGCTTTGTTACCCTCCTCTGGGCACATTCAAGGACCTTCACAGCCTTCTTAAGTTGTGGGGCCCAGAACTGCACACAGTATTTAGGGTGAGGCTGTACCAGTGCTGAGGACTTGTTAAATTTCATCCCATTAATCACTGCCCATTGTTCCAGTCATCTACGTCACTCTGAAAGGCATCTTGCTCCTTAAGAGAGTCAAAAGGACATCCCAGTTTGGTATCACCAGCAAACTTGTTAATGGTGCCTTCACCTCTTGCATCCACATAGTTGATAAAAATATTGAACAGAACTGGCCCTAGGGATTACATTATTCTTTAAATGTGACCATATAATCTCCATCATTTTTCCAGGAACCGAGGTTAGACTAACAGGTCTCTAGTTCCCCGGGCCTTCCCCCATGCCTTTCCTGTAGACTGGAATAACAGTGGCTGGCTTTCAGTTGGCAGTGACCTCCCCAGACTCCCAAGACCTTTGGTAGATGATTGAGAGGGGCCCTGCCAAAACGTCCACTAGCTCCTTCAGGACTCTGGGATGAATCCCATCAGCATTCAGCTGATACAGTTGGTCCCTTACAACTCCAGTGCCCACAAAGGGAAAATCACTGCTCCCACACTTGTGATCCTCCAACTCAAGGGAACTGGGCAGCCCAAGGTCCATCAGCATTACTAAAGACTGAGGCAAAAAAACCAAAAAACAAAAAACATTGAATGCCTCTACTTCTTTATCCCTATAAGTCAGGCTACAAGTCTTCAACAAGTATCCATCCAATATTTTCTTTAGGTCTCCTTTTGCCACTGACATACTTAAAAACACCCTTCTTGTTGTCTGAAACTACTCTGTCCAGTTTCAAATCTAATTGAGCTTTTCCCTCTTCCCTGCACATACAACCCACAGCTCTGCAATCTTCCTGTGAAGCCTGACCTTCCTTCCACAGATCATACATTGGCTTTTTCCTCTTGAGTGCCATAAGGAGTTCCCAGCTCAGGCAAGCTGTTTTTCTGCCCCACTTCTTGACCACAATCCCACACAGTGGGATTGCCTGCCCTTGTGCTTCTAAAAGGTGGTTCTTAAAGGCTGACCAGCAACTGCAGACTCCTAAGACCTGAAAAGCATATTCCCGGGGTATTTAGGGGGACCACTCTGTTGTCCTTTTTTCTTATTACAGCAAAAATTCTAAACTCAACCATTTCACAATCACCATGGCCAAGACAGTCACCTACCATCTCATCTCCCACAACACATTTGAAGTCTGGAAGGTTATATTTCCCTCGTTATATTTCTTTTTTGCCATGGGAAGAAGCAGAAATGAAAGTGTACCGTTTAAAAGATTTCACATCATCTAATTCCAGAACAGTATGTATGGGATTTTACTTATGTTTCAGTGACTCTTAAACTGAGAAAGAAACATTCCACTGGTGGTTCCTACCTAGAAATGCCGCCATGTTCATGACTTGACTAAACACACAGCTTGCAGGAGGTGCATCACCTGCAATACTTGAAAATATAAAGTGTGTCATTGTAACTCTAGGATGGTAAAGACACATAAATAACAACCATTAATCAGAGCAGTAACTGGAAGAAAATAATTCACTTACCTTATATAAGGTGGTCTTTTGGGACCAGGTTTCCTAAGAGATATAGGCATAGGAATAAAGATTCAAGGGGTTTTTTTCCATTTAGTTTTAATTGTTATATTATTTTAAAGAAACAACTGATTGAACATAAAGCCACAACCAGCTCTTACCTGTCTGGTACATTTAGTGGAAGAATTTTGTTATCTTCCACTGCTATAAAGTACCTGTCAAAAAGAAAGAAAGAAAAAAAAATTATGAAAGTAGTGTAAAACCTCATCCTGGCTTCCATTCCAAATATCACCCAAACAACACATTAGGTGTCTCGAAGCTTACTGGCAGGAGCTGCTGGAGGCAGCCTGTGCTTCTCTCTGCTCAAGCAGGCAGTTTTGCTTATTTCCCAGCCTAGCTATGTGCCTTCCTCTGTGTTGCATCTGGTTTGCAGGTCAAGTAGACAAACAGAGTCACTGAACTGAGCTGCCTTAAAAATAATCAAGGCAATGTTTTAATGTTTAAGTTGAAATATTTGATTCATCAGGTTTACCATGGTCCTCCCTCCACACAAGCTGTTTTAATACAGAGGGGATGGGACAAGAAGAACAACAAGCAATAGAGGTCAGACAAAAGGCTTAAGCTGCCCCTGCTGCTGAGAAACAACATCCACAGACCATGGCCAAAGCCACATCTCACAACATAAATGCTTCTCAGGCTGAGCATAGCTGCTGATCACACATTTATTGCTCCCAAATTCATGCTGCAGTCATCTGCCTGCATGCTTGGAGAGAGCCCAGCTCAGGGAAATGCATGTCTTGTGTGCATTTTGGTAAAAAGCGTTAGGAAGAAAGTGAGGTGTCAGCATTAAGCTGCTGGCAGATTCAGTGCAGTGCTGGATGCTGCAGATTTTGAGTTTCCACCCCAAAGCAGGGCCTAAGTTCAAAAGGTCTGCTGAGTCATTCAAAGAAAACATGTTTAAAGGGAATTTTTGCATTTTTGTCTATCTCATCTCAGGCAGCTCCCAGGAACATGTGCCAGGAAGAAGGCAAGGTCAGAAGCTTGGCATGGGGAGCACAGAAACTCAGGGATAAAAATGTGATCCTCCAAGCCATGAATTGGCACAGACTGGTCCCTGCTCCTATCATGTGCCTTCCCAGCCCCACAGTAATACCAGGACACAGCATCCCCAAAAGACACTCTGTACTGAGACACAGCCCACACCTCAGTGGTGCTTCTGACTGCCCCAGCCTGACTTGCTCTCCCAAATAACCAGCAGGAGAAAACTTACACTATCCATAATCCAGCTGATGTGAACAGGGTAAAGACAAGAGGTAAAAACATCCACACGCTGCATTTCTTCGCATCCATACCTGCTAGAAACAAAGAACAAAGTAAAAACAAAAGAAAGAAGAGGGCAGAAGTACCCACCCACCTTGCCCCCCCACACTTTTGAAAGCACAAAGAGCATCCACACAGAAGGTGACAAAGTTCCTAATGGCCACTGCAAACCTTTCATGCTGTCACTACTGGCATAAGGGGTTAAGCTGCTGCACACAGGCAGCATCATCCACAGGCTGCATAAAAACCAGGGCACAAACAGCCTGGGGCTGTGGAGCAGGAGACTTTTCAGACACACCTACAGAATTTGAGTGGTTTTTCAAAGTATTTTTCTTGAGCATTTTGCACAAGGTGACATCACAAGACCTGCAGCCTTAATTCCCTACTACTTCCCACAGGCACAAGGCAAGGCAGCCTCCTAACCAGGATCATTACCAATTCCACACGCTGTCTCAGCAAAGCCTGCAGCATGAGGAGAGGAGGATGCACGTGCTGTGTCATAATCGCACAAAGCACACAACCAGCTCCCATCCTGGCCACAGCAATCAGCTAAAAATAGTGTTTGGCCACATCCAGAGTGGAGCCGAGCTGATTGCCGGCACCCAGAGTGCTGTCAGGAGTCAGGATGAGGCGTTACAACTGGATGCAGGCACTGTGGAATCCTGCATGTGGCGTAAGGATGCTGCGTACACCACCTCCCGAGGAAGCATCTGTCCTCCAGGCAAGATCACACTGGGTGAGCATCTGGAATGCCAGGGCTGTTCCTGTAATATGTGCAATTCACAAATGCCTCTGTGTTGCTGTGCTGCAGACACAGAGAGCCCTGTCTCCCTGCAAGTCCTTCGACAACGGATCAAGTATTTCTTTATGCTCTGTCCTCCTCCATACATGTCCCTCCCAGCACAGGCACAGCCAAGAGACACAGAGAGTGAACAGCACAAGGCTCATGGCTCCAGCACCTGCTTTACTTTCCCCAGAGCAGCAGCATCTGTGCCCCTGCACTCTGCTCCCCTCCCATAGCCTGCTTGACCAGGCATTTCCTGGGGTCACCAAGGCCCACATGGGACAGCGAGGCACCCTGGGGTGCCAGGGCAGCTTGGACATGATGGCCTTTCGCTAAAGCCTGCTTGTATTTGCAGCTTAATTACCTCATCCAGGTAAAAGGTCCTAAAGCAATAACTCTCCCCTTTGTCCAAGAGAAAAAAGTGCCCACGATGTTGTCTTCCTCTTCTAAGCTCCCCTGGCCTTCCTATATCTGCAGCATAGGAGCCATGGTCTTTCTGGGCTGCTGCCCTGCTTTCTCCCCACTGTAAAGACCCACAGAAGAGAGTAAGCACCCCCACCATGCCACAGCAGCCCCCAGCTCACTGCTCCCCCAAAGCAGCCCCACTGCAAAGGCAATGCTGGCTCGACTGCTCAGGGCTCCAGACACCAATTCCCTCTCTGCCTCACAGGGACAGAGACTGAAGGAATAGAGGTGAGGTTCCCCACACCTTTTAGAAGGCAAGGCAGCCTCTACAGGTCAGGTGTCGTTTTCCCTGCAAATCGCCTAGCAGGTGTACAAAACAACACCGTGGCAGTACCCTGAGTCACACCGCACTTGCACAAAACCATGAGGCTATGATTTGGTGCTGCCCCTGTACAGATAGCCTCAAGTGAGGCTGAATTCCAAACCTCAAAAGATAGAAAAGCAATCAGATAAGGTCTCTTTCCTGACCTGGGAGCAGAGAGAACTGCAGACAGGGACCATGAAATGATGCAAGTATTAAGTATGTCAATTTAAAAGGCAGTCAGCTCCAGTGTGCTTACAGATCTTTAGTGTGGTCTAACAGATCAGAAGAAATTATCGATGAGGGGGGACTAAATTTCCACACCAGTCTCACCTCTTTTCCTCTCCTCCCACACAGGAGACACGCAGTGTTTCACAGCTCTGTTCCCTGCACAGCCCCCGCCCCAGCACTTCCAACTATTCCATGAAGTGCTGCTCTTTTCCTCCCACTGCTCACCAGCAATGCAGCAGCATCCCTTAGCTAATGTTGGACATTACTCTGGTACTGGTAGACCTGTGCCAGCAATGTCAAAGACCACTTCCACCCGTGGTCTTGCCTCACCCGTGTCCCTGATGGACCCTGGCAGCACAGTGCCCAAGTGCCAGTGCCCTGCACAGGAGAGGCATAACTGTATCCAAGTTCCCCACTCCTGCCTTGGCTGAAGTAAGCAGGCAGGTAACATCACCTCCTGTTTTCCTCTGCATCACCTGTCCATATTTCCTCTGCAAGGTAACTACTGCCATCGATTCTCCTCTTTTCTCTGGTGGTAGCTGGACTAAGCCAAGGTAACACAATTCTTTCAGGTCAGGGGATGGCACATCTTATTGTTTACCCTTCCCCTTTGGAAAAGTACAAAATATTCATTTACACAATAAAAGCAAACAGCTATAACATCTGCCTTCATTAATGGTTTGCCACAGCTCCTCCACCTTCCAGCATGCCTCCCAGCTGAGAAACAGTAGCCTTCACAAGCTATTTCAGCATTGTCTGTCATGCAGAGAGGGAGGTGGCACGGGACTTTTCCCTCAGGTGAAGCAGCGAGGCACACAGGAGCACACAGGGACAAGGACTCCATACCAAAATGAAGTGGGGAAATATGAAAATACTGTCCAGATAACCATTACTCTCCGCTGAGCTCTAAAATGGAGCAAGGCCAGGACTAGTGCCCAACCTTATCAAAGTCAGAGCAACATGGATACAGATTCACTTCCTTGGAAAACAGCCGCGTGTTTAATATTCACTGTGCCACATGGAGTCCCCTTCCATCAACCACTAACAGAAAATGACATCTGAAATCAGTGCATATTAACTGAATGATCAGCACAGAGCACAGTGTCCTGATGGGAAGCCAGGTCCATAGTTCAGAAAAACACATTCATTTCAGCCAGTTAATAGGAAACACCTGGAGAAACAGCCCCCCCAGCACACACCTCATTACAGACAGTTGGGTTTGCACTGGGGAGAGAGAACAGCACTTCCAGCGAGAACAACGACTTGGGTAGGGCCAGATCTTCACCAGAGCTCAGTGAACACCTTTCAGTGCTGGCCATTAGCACAGCCTAAACATGCTTGAATACATTTTAGCATACCCATGTCGGCAGAGGATGGTTTAAAACCAGAGCTGAGCCCCTGAAGGTTTCTCATTTACTCCCTGCTGTGTTACTCGGGTGCCAGGAACAAAATTACATGTAACCTCAACTTCTTGCAATGGAGAAACCACGGCATGTGCCAAACCTGCCCAGCTTTGCATTAGTGTTCTGCAGGTATCATTCTCAGCAGTTGCCTTTGGGTTAACCTCAGCAGTTAGTCCTTTTCAGGGATATCCCCAGTGTTTGTGTCTTCGAGCTGGGAGACCTCCATGCACACTCAGACCAGCACCTTTCACAGCAGCCAGGGACAAGAGAATAACAAACACAAGCAGTAGCCTCCTCTGTAACACCACAGCAAATGGTTTAGCCAAAGTAAAATGCCAAGAGCAATAGCAAAAATACCCTAAATTCTTTGTGGGAAATGTAGAAACAAATTCTTTGACAGTTAATTGCTCCACGGGGATGACATAAAGCCAACCTTCCTCTCCACAGCTCTGTTCTGCTGCCTTGTAGACGTGACCGGTGATGCCAAATCTGAGCAGTCAACTCCAGCTGGCAATAACAGCCATCTCTGCCAGCCCATGTTTTCCCAAATAAACACACTATGACCAAGAAGCAGTTGGTAATTGCCCACACCCATTTGTCTTCCATTTTTAAGGCTTGCACAGGAAGTCCTTCAGCGATGGAAATCCCTCGTGCTGTAATGGATTCGCAGGCCTAATAAAAATTCACAGCCAGAATCAGCCCACCTCCTCAAAAGCTCACACTGTGGTTTTCCAGTCCCTCTTGACACATGCTCTCACACCAGCATTGCAAAAACCCTGTCGAGGTGTGCTCCTGCTACCAGCTAATATGGGTCAGAGTCCAGAACTGCAAAGGGTTTCACATTAGCACAGCCCCGGTGTTTTTCTTGAGAATTTCTCTTAATGCAGGCTTAGTCCCTTATCTCCAATCCCATTTTTATGTCTAAATGTGCTCAGACTGTCAGCTATTTGCTCTGTTTATACTACCATTGCCCCACTACACACTCTCAACCAATTAAGCTTCCATTCCTCTCATGTACACACTTCAATTATGGCAGACAGCTCACCCAACATATACTGCTGGTTCATTTAATGTGGACATCTTAATTTCATCTGCCAAGCAAAGATACAGGCTCTTCCTGAAGTTGCTTTCACCAGAGAACATGAATGTAAGGAAGGACAAAATTACCATATTAACATACATCTTTTTTAAGACTAGAGCAACCAGATGCATTTGAAATGCATAATAAGCCAGAGCAACTCTACTGCATTTCACAGCACAAGGCCACTGAGTTATTTCAGAGAACAGATACAAAGCCATAAGCACTGGGAGAAGGAGGACACTGTTCAAAACATAGAGGAACTCATAAAGAATTGCTGCCAGTCAGGAAGAAAGGGAAACAAACACAGTTTGTCTATTGGGGGAGCCCACTATAGCTCTCTGTTGCTTTTAAAAGCAAAAATAACCACAGTCACTTGATACCTAATCACTGTGAGTGGATACAAACCAGCACATTACATAACCTGCCACCCACAAGTCACAAATGCCAGCATAACAAAGCAGAGCATTTTCAGGTTTATCTCAAGGTTTGCAGCATGAGCACACAATGAGAGAGAGAAGACGTGACAGAGTCTTGTAAATACATAACAAAATGGTGGGGTAACAGGAAAAGAAGTGATCCCCTCTGTCAGCAGGGTATGATGTTCTGCTTGCTCCAGGTACCCACCTACTGTCTCATGGATGTGCAGAAATGCCATTTTCATTTATCTGTATGAGAGGAATGGGAAAAGGTAAAGACATCTCTGGGTTGTGCATGGGGGAAGCAGGAGATGCTTCAGTAACCCTGCAATGATGTTGAGAGGCAATGCTTTCACCCATGGCAACATCCATGCATGTTTCTTGTCTTGTTTCTCACGCACTGTGAATGCACTCAGTGTGCTAATGAAATGCTCTGTCCAACATAAGCCTATTGGAGACAGGAAATGAAACCTTCTAGTCACCAAAAAGCAGGGGGCAGAAAAGGGTGTATTATTATCTGCTTGCCCACATCGGCCCTCCAAGTTTCCCCCAGGTCTCCTGCAGTAGCGTAGAGTTAATTTGTTATCAATTCCCTAAATATGAATAGACTTACATATTTGCACATATATATATCCTGAGTGCCTTGGTAAGAAGACCATGTGACTGACAGATTGTCCGTCCCAGAGATACTCCTGCAGCACTGCTGGGTCCCTACTGTCCTTCAAGAAGTGAAGGACATATTCTGATTCATGCTGCCACACATGAGTACTTACAGGCCATTTAGCAACCAGTGTTGAACTGCTGTGTTACAGCCAGAGACATTGACTGTGGACTCTTCTGGGCTGGCTCTGCCCCTCTCGCTTCTGGCGTTGTACAGATCAGGCACACCCCGCTTCAAGGCCACGTTCCTGGATGTTATAGAAGAAAAATTAACATAATTTGCCACCATAGGACCAAAAGGTTCTGCAGGCTTTGACAGTGCTGTGCTCTGACCCATGCATCTACACCAGAGGCAACACTGACTTCCATGAGGTCCCACTCATACCATGAGCAGGGCTTGGACAGTCGTGGCCCTCAGCCTGCAAACAGGCAAAGGAGGCAGAGGCAGGAGCTGGGTAAAGTACTCATCCAGTTCAGATGGAAAGAGCTGGGTCAGCAGACAGTGAAACCAGCTAGGAGCAGCCAGGGTGAGCTGAGGAGCACTACATTTTGCAGGTGCTGTGTGTCTGTTTGCCCCAGGGATCCCATTCTGCCTGGGAGCACAGACTGCAAGTTCAGCCATTCTGGCTCCTCATGACCTCAGGGGCTGCACAAGTCAGGTGGCAACCAGTCCCCAGTGAATGCTCCCAGTGTATGCTGGACTGCCCACATCCCAGGGCAGATGCCTTACCACCTCTCCAAGGGCAGATATTGAGGAATATATACAGTGCCAGTAGCTCATTCTGCAGCTGCAGTGGGAGCTGCAGGGTGTGCTCTGGGTGGGGGGAATGGCTGGAGCCTCAGGCAAGGGGCCATGACCTGGCACCAACCCTTTGCCTGACAAAGGGCACAGAGACCTGTGGTGCTGGCCAGGGATGGCCAATCAGCCAGAGACTCTGTATATTCCAAATGAACAGTGAGAAGACCCCAGACTAAATATCACAATTGGAACAGGCACACAGACTGTGAGAATATGAAAGCACAGGGATTCCTTAGTTCAGGGTCCCTCCCTGAAGGCACCAATTTGAGCTGTTTCTGTTCAGTTGTTATTGCAGAATGATTAATTCCTTAAAGGATCTAGAGATCTGGGACTATGTATGAGAAACTTGGGATCCAGGTAGTGAGGAAAACCTGTTAGACTATCTGAGTGTGAGGTGTGTATGGAGTCAAGTGAGACACCCATTGGGTCACTGGAACTGCCCAGTGTGAAGGGGCTTCATTCCCTGCACTGAAAAGTCTCAGGTGGTGGGAGCGTGACTGCCAGAGTGGCTCCTGGATGTTCAGACAGGAAAGTTTCCCTAATACAGAGATGTTCAAGACTGGGCCGCTTTCACCAGACTTCTGAGATGCAGAGGAAGTCTCTAGCAGAGTCTCAACACAGACCAAACCCCATAGTCTTACACCACCACCACCACCACCACCAGGGCATATTTTCCCCTTGCCCAATCCTTTTGTTTGGGATGTTTATGAGAACAGCACTTATCCCAAAGTCCCAGCCAAACCCCAAAGTGAAGAGTTGAAGGAAAATGAGGAGGACTATATATCTCCTAAAAAAATTACAGACAGCAAAGCTCTCCCTGCTTCAGCTCTGCAGTGAAGAAAGAGTCTCCAAAACTGTCTCCTTGCTCTGCAAGTAATACACAAATGCAGGCTGATGTTATGGCAAAGCCCACAATGTCAGAGGCACTGTGCAGTCTGTCCAGTGATCATCCTCCACCTCAGCCACCCCAATCTAAAGACCGTTGTCTGAACTAGCAACAAGCAGAATGAGTGTTTCTTGTCCCATAAAGTACATAGATCTTGTCAGTGTATTAATAGATGGACAGAGGTGTTTTATTTGCTCCCGAGTTCCAAAAACCACAAATGCCTTCAAGCATTCCCAATCTGTCCGAGAAGCAAAGCTAAGACACACATTACACTGGGAGGGGGCAGGAAGCCTGCCCAAAAGGTTTGTCCCATTATCAGGAAAAAAATGTAAGTGTTGGGAGTGGCAAAAAACACTCAACAGGGAGGTGAAACCTGGCAAAGAAAGAGACAGATATGTCATGTTGACTTAAAAATAGCTCTGTAGGTAAGGAAAGACACACTAAGCCCAGGGGAACAGACTTCACAGAATGTTATTCCTGATCATATTGTCTCCTTTTCCAGTTTACAGATGAGAGAGTACAAGCCCTGGAAGCCCAAAACAATTTCAGGTTTCCCTGAAATTTCAGGTTTCTACCCTGCCACTGTTTTTTTCCCCAACAAACACAAAACATACACTCAAACTACATAGCTTCCCATGGAGTGTAAGCAGGGCTTTTCCCACCTGTTTACTTGTCTTACACCTTTCTTGTCCCTCGTACTCTTCTTCTATTTACCTTTTGGAAGCACAAGCTCCTTTCTCTACTGCACTTTGCAGCTCTACGCTTTTGAAGAGATGTTCACTGTCCCCAAAGCAGCATTTCCTTCAGTCAGTCTGCACTTGTCATGGGGAAAACACCCAAGGGCTGCGAGCTTTTAAGGAGTGTGGCATAACCCAGCAAGCTTTCTCAGGACAGTTTTCCCTCACCAGCCTCTTCAGCCTGAGGACTCATGCCCTCTCCACAAAAAGAGATCCTCTTCTCCTTGTATTAACCACCAAGGCCCCAGAGAAGCAGCCATGAGATGATGGGCTGGAGGGTGACCTACAAGGAATGGACATGCAGTACCCACGACCTGGCTTTTGTCATTACTCTAAATTAGCCCTCTCTGGCATAGAGATTGTCACGGGTACAAACCACCATGTCAGTCTTTTGACTCTCTTTAGACCTGTGGAAATCATTTGCCCTGAGACAAGTACAAGGTAAGCAATCATACACAGGCATTTTTGTGGTGTTCACCACTGCCTCACCAGCATTCCTCATTTATAGGAATCAGTAACATTTGTTTACCAGTGTCCCAAGCTGCTGCAACCATAAATTGCTGTTTGTAGGGTGCCTGGATTAGGAGGAAGGTGCCATACAGCTTTTCACTTCATGTAAACCTGCTGCAAACACAACAGACAGAGGGGAGCAGGGAACAGCTTCCACCCGTTAAACAGTGGCCAAGTCTGCAAGCCTGTGTGACCAGCCTTTCCATCGCATCCAGAGGGCTTAAAACTTTTCATGTCTGTTGTAATATATTCAGAGCCAGACTTCTCCATAGCATAGGAGACCATAATAAACCACGTCTAAGAGTGTTCAGCTGGGCCAAGACCACACTAGGGAGGCTCTCCCTGACATCCTCAGTGGCTTGGCCAGGCAGAGGCCTCTCTTGCAGTCCCTGTGATGTCAAAACTGAAGCGCTGCTGGCTCTTCTGTCTCAGGCAGTCACCACTAGAAATCCCAGCGGCTCCTCACGGGAAGCAGGAAATCAGACAGGGAGGGTAGAAGTTCTGTCCCTAATTACCTGGATCTGCCTGAGATCAGGAAATCAAGGGGAGGATGCTGGGCACTCCCTCCACCACTGCAGCATACTAGTCCACATCATCCAGGCTTTTGCTTCCTTCCCTCTGCTACCCACAGAAGAGACAGCCCAGACCTCTCCTAATGGCACCAGGGAGCACCTCGGCCTCCCCTCCTACCAGACCTGCCCAATATGCCACCAGTTCCACAGGAACAGGTGAGCACAGCTCAGCAGCTCCTGGTGCTGGGCAGGAGGCCTCTGCTCTTGTGTGCGGTGGGCAGGGTGGAGGGAGGGCTTCCCTCCTGTCCTGCACACAGGAGCAGCTCTCCCAGAGGGAGCCAGGTCTGCATGCCTGCCCATGGCAAACACTTCTCAACGGAGCAAACAGCACTCATACAGGGAGACTGCTGCTCTGGTAGGCGCCTCTCCCCTGCAGGTATGACCGTCCAGAGGTAACCTCAGCATAAAATATTTGCATTATACCCTACACAGTGTATAATAATCTATAGCCATTTTAACGGTTCCTTTCATGGTTTTTGAAGTTTCATCAGTCTTCTTTTCCTCTCCTCCCATTCACTCCACCCTTCTCTCCCCCGCTGTTCACAATCTTTTTTGCTTTCTTTTCACTCTCATGCTGCTTTCATCCCTGAACCTCAGGTGACTGCTTCTGCAACCTGCAGGGACCCAAGGCAAGGGGAGCCAGGCATCTAGAGACCTTTGCAATACTTTGCAAGTCTTCTTGAGACAGCAAAAACCCACCATTATTCCCATTTTAGACAACAGGGCCAGTGAGTTGTTCACTGAGAGAAATCAGTGACCCAGAGGAGTGTGAACTCACGGAGTCCTGGTCCAAGATTTCTACTGCACCTGCCAGCCATCCCCTGTCCCAGTGTATCGTTCCCAACATATTGCCGTTTCTTTGCTTCCACTTAACCTGCAATTATAGCTCATCGTTTCAGCTTGGACTGCAGGATCAGGACCCTAAAGTGTCTCTGTTGGCCAAACCACAATCTTCCAATTTTCCAGTGTCAGGCTGCCCGGAAATGGCTGGGGGAGGAGAGGAAACCATGGACATGACATTTCTTCCAAGGAAAAACAATTGACTGTGTTGGTGTTCATACAAGCACACATCCCTGCTCTGCATCTGAAAAGCAAACACTGCAGCACAAAGAATTTTAAAAGGGGAAATGAAACAACTGCACTGACTTTCAGCACCCAAGCTCAGAAAATGCTGACCACTGAGCATGAAGAACCACAAGAAAATAATTTGACTTTTAATAATCAAGTCCCCTTCTTTTAGACAGTGTCATCTATTTGAGCAAGACACAACAGACAGTCAGTGTGCCAGGATATACCTTTCACACACTGCTCTCCTCCATGTTGAGTTGCTATCCATAATTAACCATACATGTGTACATTGCTCTGGCATAAGGGTAATGTTGATCAGACCATCTGTAAGGCTACTTTCACAAGAAGCTTTGTTTAAAAAGTAAAAAAAAAAAAAAAAAAGCAGAAGGGAAGGTTAACTCATAATTCCTGCAAGCTTTCTAGCTCCAGTGCTCTGAATCAAAGATCTGGCACAAGCATGCTGCTGTAAGGAAAAGCTAAGACTAAGATCCCAAGCAACCCCATCATCACCCTGGGACATCAGCACCCAGCATCTTTCTATTGCTCAGAAACAGGACCTCACCCTTCCTCCCCTGAGGGACCACAGCGGAGCCCACTGGCCTTTCTCAAAACCTCTTCCCCTCCTGGGAATTTAACTGGACACAGCCTGCATGTCCTGACAGGACATCCCGGCAGG